ATACTTCTTTAGGTAAATGCATACAATCAGGGGATACGCTTTAAGCCAGTAAGGGAACTGCACATTAATCACTCATTAGTTTGGGGCTATCCGTCCAAACCAATCAAAGGGTGGACAAACAGTCAGTCCTTGGGGTGAGCAAAATGAAAGTAAAGGAGATCACTGGGGAACAGAGATGTGTTAGGGAAGTTGGGAAACTTAAATGCAGAGAGACAATAATTGTGAAGGGGGCAGAAATTGACATATAAGGTGGTGGGAAACAATAATACATTGGACGACATGGGCTATTGCTGTGGTGGGGAGTCGTCTTTACTGATAGATGCCATGAGTAGGGCCCTTACATAAGGTGGTTGGTGGTGAGATTTGAAGGTTTTCCTGTATTTGATGGTCACACACTGAACAGTAAGATTTTGCGAACCTGTAGACATTGGGGAAAGAGTGGTGCTGACTTAGACAAAATTGTTAGAACAATGAGGCTAAAGGCTGGAAAGCTGTTTTTCTTGGTTCTTAAGCAGCAATAGATGTAAGACTCAGAACTTGAATGTGCAATGACATATCAGCCATGTCACTGGCACCTTGAGAAGTGGTGGTGATTGATCTTTCACTGCGTGAATAGTGAAAGATGACTCCAGACTGCCAACCCTAGACCAGGTGCATGCCTGGACTTCAAATATGGCACAAATGCCAGGTATCCTGCCAGTGCCAAGTATGTCTGTCTATGGTTGGAGAATAGGATGAGCAACATGCCATAAAGAGCATGGTGCACAAGTAATGAAGTGAGTTTGGGAGGGTAACACAAAAAAAGCCTGTAAAGGCCTTGAGGAGAGAAGCCCTCCTTTATCGTAAGCCCATTGTTAGTCAACAATGTACAGTTAATTATGTGACATCCCTGATGTTCATTTCTTTTGTCCCCTATTTCCTTATATAACAATATCACTCCCTGCCATCAGAGGGCAGATATTCATTTCAATTGAGAACTGACTTATTCTCTGAGGAGGCATTTATGTTGCACCACTAGAGACTGCAATGTTCACAGTAATCCAAGGAGCCTTGATCATTTGCTGTAGAGTATTTTAAATAGGCCATTTCAGAGGGCCAAGTCAACCATATAGCTGTGGAACTAGAGCCACATTTAAACCAGATGTGATACACTCCTGGAAGTTTGGAAGAGTGAAAAATGAATTTTTTAAAACAAAATGCCCAGTTCTGAGGAGGGTTTGATGTAAATGTTGTAAGGATCCGGAATCTGCTGGAATTCACAGAGGAATATGGAGCTGGCTCCTTTGAAACAAAGATTAGATTTCAAATCTGATTTTGGAATTGAATTTTTAAACTCCATCTACATTGTGGTGAGATATAAAGTTATGCCCCAGAGCATTAGTTTGCTGGTTTACTTGTCCAGCTGACAACAGCATTCAGCCAATTAACAGTGAAGGAATGGCAACATAGTTCCAAGTCAGGATGGTGTATGACTTGGAGGGGAACTTGCAGGTGGTTTCCTGGGTTTCTGCTGCCCTTGCCTTTTTAGATGATTGAAGATGGAAAATGCTGTCAAAGGAGCCTTTATCAATTGCTGTAGAGTATTTTAAATGTAGTAAATGCTGCTGCCACTGTGTGTGACTGTTCAAGGTGAACTCTGGAGCATGTAGCAAGTGATTTGTTTTGTCCTGGATGGTGTCAAACATGAATGTTGTTCAAAGTATACTCTTCCAAGCAAGTAGAATGTATTCTATCAAACTCTAGCCTTTCTGCTCCTATGATGCTGCTTGGCCTGCTGTGTTCATCCAGCCCTGCACCTTGTTGTCCTGATTTCTAGATGGTAGGCAATCGTTGGCCAATCAGGAGGGGAGTTATTCACTCAGAATTCCTATTCTCTAACTGGCTCTTGCAGCTACAGTATTTATATGGCTACTGCAGTTTAATTTATGATCAACAGTAGCCCATTGTAATTCCATTTTATGTCAAGCGAAGACGGTTGGACGCTCCCTTTTGGAGATGGTCATTGCCTGGCAATTAAGTGGCAAGTTACTTCCATACCAAAAATCAGCCTAAGTCTGAAGTTTGCCCACGACTCACATATATACATGGACTGCTTTAGAATCTAAGGAGTCATGAAAAGTGCTGGATATCATTAGTGAAACTCTACTGACCAGGTTCAGCTGTTTCAGTTGAGAAATTCCTCCATTAGTTTGCTTTGGAGAAACAAAGCAAATGTGGTAAGAGAACAAGGGTTTGGGTTCTTGCGAAGATTTGTAGCTCGGGTTGTGGATGAGGTTGTTGGCTTGCTTGCCAAGCTGGCAGGTTATCGTGCAGATGATTCATCACCATGACAGGTAACATCATCAGTGTGACCTCTGGCCAGCTCGGTGAGCAAGACAACAACCTCAACAAGAGTTTTGCTTTGCTTTATTCAGGAATATAAGCTGTACAAAATTTGTGTTTACCATCTCTGGTCTAAGAAAAATGGTAGTGTTTAAAAGCTATATCTTTGTTTGCTCAGAGGTAGTAAGAACTGCCGATGCTGGAGTCTGAGATCAGTGTGGAGCTGGAGGAACACAACAGGCCAGGCAACATCAGAGGAGCAGGAAAGCTAGTGTTTCGGGTCGGGACCCTTCTTCAGAAATCGGGAAGGGGAAGGGGAAGGGGGCTCTGAAATAAATAGGGGGGGGGGGGGGGAGTTGGGCTGGGAAAGGTAGGTGGGATGACCACCTGACCACCAAAACATCATCCCCCATACCATCCATAAGCTCAACACTTCAGGTGATCTCCCACCCACATCCTCCAACCTCATCGTTCCCCAACCTGACACCGCCTGTTTCTATCCCCTTCTCAAAATCCACAAACCCGACTGCCCTGGCCGACCCATTGTCTCTGCCTGCTCCTGCCCCATTGAACTTATCTCCACTTATCTTAACTCTATTTTCGCCCCCTGGTCCAGGAACTCCCCACCTATATCCGGGATACCACCCACGCCCTCCACCTCCTCCAAAACATCCAATTCCCTGGGCCCCAACACCTCATCTTCACTATGGACATCCAATCCCTATATACTTGCATTCCCCATGCAGATATCCTAAAAACCCTCCACTTCTTCCTCTCCTGCAGGCCCAACCATTCCCCCTCCACCGACACCCTTATCAGCTTAACTAAACTCGCCCTTACCCTTAACAACTTCTCCTTCAACTCCTCCCACTTCTTACAGACTAAGGGGGTGGCCACGGGAACCCGCATAGGCCCAAGCTATGCCTGCCTCTTTGTAGGATACGTGGAGCAGTCCCCCTTCTGCAGCTACACTGGTACTATCCCCCACCTCTTCCTCCGCTACATCAATGATTGTATCGACGCTGCCTCGTGCTCCCATGAGGAGCTTGAATAGTTCATCAACATTACTAACACCTTCCACCCCAACTTCAAGATCACTTGGACCATCTCTGATACCTCTCTCTCCTTCCTGGACCTCTCTGTCTCCAACTCTAGTGACCACCTTGAAATTGATATCTATTTCAAGCCCACCAACTCCCACAGCTACCTAGACTACACCTCCTCTCACCCACCTTCCTGCAAGAATGCAATCCCCTACTTCCAATTCCTCTGCCTCCACCGCATCTGCTCCCAAGATGAGGCATTCCACTCCCGCACATCCCAGATTTCCTCGTATTTCAAGGATTGCAACTTCCCCGCTTCAGTGGTCGAAAACGCCCTCGACCGCATCTCTTGCGTTTCCCGCACCTCAGCACTCACACCCCCTCCCCGCAATAAAAACAAAGACAGAATTCCCCTTGTCCTCATGTAACACCCCATTAACCTCCGGACTCAATGCATCATTCTCTGCCACCTGCAATCTGACCCCATTACGAAGGATATATTTCCCTCCCCACCTTATCTGCCTTCCGGGGGGACCGCTCTCTCCGCGACTCCCTCGTCCGCTCCATACTCTCCACTAGCCCCACCACCTTTCCCTGCAACCACATGAGGTGCTCCACCTGCCCCTACACCTCCCCCTCACCCCCATCCCAGGCCCCAAAAAAACCTTCCACATCAGACAGATGTTCACCTGCTCATCCGCTAATGTGGTCTATTGTATCCGCTGCTCCTGATACGGCCTCCTCTACATCGGCGAGACCAAGCGGAGGCTCGGAAACCACTTTGGTTCGCAAGAAACGACAACACCTCCCAGTCGCAAACCACTTCAACTCCCTCTCCCACTCCCTGGACGACATGTCCATCCTGGGCCACCTCCAGTGTCACAACGATGCCACCCGGAAACTGGAGGAACAGCACTTCACATTCCATCTTGGAAGCCTACAGCCCAATGGTCTCAATGTGGACTTTACTAGCTTCAAAATTTCCCCAGCCCCGGCCTCATCCCAAGACCAACCCTCCCTCTCATCCCCACCTCCTTGATCTATTTGTCTTCTCCCCCACCTATACGCTCCTCCCACCTCACTGACCAATCCCCACCACTACCTACCTGCTATCACCATCCCACCTACCTTTCCCAGATCAACACCCCCCCCACTCTATTTCAGAGCCCCCTTCCCCTCCCCCATTTCTGAAGAAGGGTCCCGACCCAAAACGTCAGCTTTCCTGCTCCTCTGATGCTGCCTGGCCTGCTGTGTTCCTTCAGCTTCACACTGTGTTATATCTTTGTCTGCTGATCTGTTACATTAATCTTGCATACTGAAATATTTTGAAATATATATGTATATTGATCAGTTCTGCCTTTTTACTTCAATAGTTGGTCCGATTATGATGATGCAAGGTAGTCATGAGTTGATCCTACAATTACTGCATTGTCTCAAAAATTCCAGTCAGAATTTTGTTTCAAATCACTGGGTTGACTCATTGAGGTTTGCTTCTGGAACAAATGATTATTTTTAGATTTGAGCCTCCTTATTCTTCATCTTCAAAAAAAAATGGACCTTTGTTCTGCCTTTAAATGAGACTTCCCAAATTTAACTTACCAAAGAATTTTGGAAAATTGTACTTTGCAAAGGAAATATTGTAAATACTCACTTTTATTCAAAACATTCATGTTACAAATTCATAACTTAATGTATATTTCTTCCCACACAATGGGAGAACAGAAAACTATCAAGCAAATTATTGCACATTTTACAAGTAGCATACACATCTGCTAAGTGTTCTGTTAAAACAGCTAGTCAAATTTTACTATACAAAATATATGGAATAAAATACCACTTACACATTGATAGACAAAGTGGGAACATTTTCTGGTCAAAGTTAGTTCAAAGTTACTTCTGGAAACTCCCCGTGAATTGAAATTTGAATAATCATGATTTGTTCGAGCACTCTGTGTCATAGGTAATATTTCCTGTGACGGAATACTGGTTCATGGAGTTTTAGTTCAAACTTTCTCTTTTGAGTTAGGATCTAAATGAACTACATTTTGAAGAAATGGCACTGGATTCAAATTTCAGTAAAAGCAATGGCACTGAATTGATTTGTTTTAAAAGAAATTAAATGTTACAAAAATTGAAGAAAAATCAGGAATATAGTAATAACAAATGGTCTACATAACTCTTCCACATGCCTGGTTAGTTAATGATCAAGGCACTGATTTGCTGTGGAATATAATCTCAGTCTCATAAGAAAAAAAATTGCATTTAACTTTTGTCAGATGTAATTCAAATGAATACTTTTACAGATGTCAACTCCCCAAATCCTTAAACAATATAGTTAATGGTGATAATGACAGTTAAACAACAGTGAAACTGCTAATGGTAGTTTAACGTGTTGTATATGTAAACAGTTTCAAGCGGTGGTCCCACTTCTGTTTTTTGCTTGGAATGTATTTATTAATTTACAGAAAATCCATTCATGTTCACATGTATGGATTCACTGACCGAAGTTGCTTGGATTAAATTTTTGTTTGCAGCAATGTGAATAGTTTGCCAATGCAGCAGTACTGAGTAGTCTTCAACCAGATTATTGATTACTGTATATCACTGTCAAGCAAGGCCAGCTTTGAGACACCACCACAGGCATCTTAACTGTATTCATAAAGCACCAAATTGAGATAAAAATGCTATGTAGTGATTCAGGACAAGAATGTCCATCTCACCACACTCTCTTACATGCCACCTGGACCCCCACACTCCCAGATTAGAAAATGATTTGCCACTAACATTCTATTCTAGTTAGATTTGATGTGAATAAAAATAGCTGGACTATTTTCTCTATTTTGACTCTATTAATTTAGACACTGAACATACAACCTTTTACAATATGGTTGTGGTGATGCTGAGTGTTTGGTACAATTGAATGTTCCGGTTATCTAGGTAATTAAGCATCGGTTAGTGACTTTGTTACATGCAATTGTGACAAAATACATTTGGTGTATACATATATACCTTCATGCCATTTAACAGTTTGCACTAGCTATCGATTTGATTGACGTTTCATTTTATGTTCTATGGCTGCTGTTGGTATTGACCTTCTGTGGCTGTATAAAAGTCTTCAAGCAACCCTTTGAGATATTCAAAGGTTGGCCGATCTTCAGCTTTACTTTTCCAACAATCCTTCATGACATCATACAGCTCTTGTGGGCATTCTTCAGGACGTGGCATGCGATAACCTCGTCCAATAGCATTTACAACCTCTGTGTTAGACATTCCTAGGAAAGTGAATTTTTTATGTTACACTCAGATTTAAAAATACTGCAATGAAAATAATTACAATCTTCACTGGTCTCATACATGTCTGCAATGATTGTAACCTCACCAACCAATGAAACAGCATTTACGTCAAAATCAGATATAGCAATCACAGATAGATCACAGGAAACCTGTTGTAAAGAATAAATAAAATGTTACAGTTATTCATGGGGACAGTTTGAGCATGAAGCACATTTATTGGGATGAATAAATCACAAAAGGCTAGTATTTAGCACGTATTAGTGAAGATAAATGGAATGCAGTTTTTATTTCAAAGGGAATGTAAGAATAAAAGTAAGGAGATTTTGCTACAATCACTAGAGAGTTTGAGTTAGTAAGGAGAGGCTGAGGGGTGACCTCACAGAGGTTTATAAAATCATGAGGGGCGTAGATAAGATAAATGGCCAAGGTGAATGCAGGCAAATGGGACTAGTTAAGTTTGGGACACCTGCTTGGCATGGATGAGTTGGACTGGAAGGTCTGTTTCCGTGCTGTATGACTCTATACAAAGCACTAGTCAGACCACAGCTGTGAACAGTGCTTACCCCCTTTTCGAAGGAAAGATATATCGGCATTGGGTTTAGTCCAGAGCTGATCCAGTGTATGGAGGGATTGTCATGTGAGAGGATGTTTAGTAGGTTGGACTTGTGTTCACTGAGGTTTATAAGAATAAAAGGTGACCTTATTGAAACAAGATTCTTAGTGAATATGGAAAAGTTGTCTCTCCTTATGGGAGAAGCCAAGACAAGAGGACATAAGCTTAGAATAAAGGGTTACCCATTTAAGACCTAAATGAGGAGGAATTTTCTTCTGAGGGTAGTGAATTTGTGGAATTCTTTACTATAGAAGGCTAGGAGGATGGTCATCAAGTATATTCAAGTATAAGATAGATTTTTAATTAGTAAAGGAATTGAGGGTTATGGAGAAAAGGTAGGAAAGTGGAGTTGAGGATGACCAGATCAGCCATGATCTCATTGAATGGCAGAGCAGACTCAATGGCCTACTTCTGCTCCTTCTTCTTATGATCTTAGCTAACAATAGCTGTACCATTGAAGCAAATATGGAACCTATTAGATAATGTTTACTCCACTTTATTTAGTAATGGAGATAAAATACTAAATTTGGAATCTGTTTAAATTGTGAGAGTTTGATTTCAGCATCTTACTCTGGTAGATGCATGTCTGTGTCAATACCACAGAAATATCTTACACTACTGTCCTTTCAGACTCGGAGCTGTATTATGGTAATTTTAAATTTAAATGTTAATAAAAATCAGCAGGCGCTGCCGAGTGGCATAATTGTAATGCAATTAGATTAGTAAATTCAGAACTCCCAGGTTAGTATTCAGGGGACTTGGGGTCAAATTCCACCATGGCAGATGGTGAAATTTGTTTTCAACAAAAATTTGGGATAAAAACCTAGGTCTATGACAACCATTTAACACTATCTATTGTTATGAAAGCCTTTGGGTTCACTGATGACCGTAAGGGATGGATATCTGCCATTGTTACCTGATTTGGCCCAAATGTGACTCCAGATGGTCTGATGGGTTGACCTTTAAATGACTTTTGGATAATTAGGGAAAGGCAATAAATACTGAAGTAGTTAGTGACACCTATATCCCATGAACAAATTTTAAAAAGCCAGAATTTGGAAAATTTCCAAATTCCCATTTTCAACCTTTTAGACGAGATCCAACTCTCGATATTGATTACAATGGAAACTGTAATGTAAAGCTGGCTGCAGATGTGACTCCAGGTTGGTGTGTGGCCTCTCTTGTCTAGGATATCACTGAATGGCTGCAGGCTGTCCTGAATGGGATGGTGATAAGGCAAAGATTGTGGCACACATTGGTACCAACTATATAAGCAGAACAAGGAATGGGGTCTTGCATCAAGAGCTCAGGGAGCTAGGCAGTTGATTAAGAAGCAGGACCTCAAACATTGTAATCTCAGGAATACAGTTGGTACCATGGACTAGCAAGCACAGAAATAGGAGAACAGAGCAAATGATTGGCTTAGCAGTTAGTGAATGAAGGAGGGTTTTAGATTCCTGGATCACTGGGATTGTTTCTGGGGAAGGTGGGACCTGTACAAATGGGACAGTCTGCACCTGAACCAGAATGGGAGTGACATCCTTGTGGGAGGATTTGCAAGTGCTGTTGGCAGGAGTTTAAACTAATTCAGCAGAGGCACGGGACATAGTGCATTAGTTCAATAGTGACACTGATTATCTTAGAAAAGGAACCAAGGCAGAGTGAGTTCAGCCATGTGGTGTCTCAAGGGAGTAAGGCGAGGTGGTAAGTCAGATGAGTTAATGTGACACATGAAACTGCCATGTTGTTGCCATCACAAAGACATGGTTGAGGGAGGATCAAGACTAGCAACCTAACATTCTGGGCTATAGCATCTTCAGGCAGGACAGGGAGAGTGCAAAAATGTATTGCAGTTGCATTATTAATTTAGGAAACTAGTTGCTGCAGTAAGGAGGGGTGATAGAAGAACAAAGAGAACAAAGAAAATTTCAACACAGGAACAGGCCCTTCGGCCCTGCAAGCCTGCACCAACATGGTGCCAGTCACAACTAAAACCTCCTACCCTTCAGGGGACTGTATTTCTCTATTCCATCCTATTCATGTATATGTCAAGACTCCCTTTAAAAGTCACTATCGTATTTGCTTCCACTACATTCCCCGGCAGTGAGTTCCAGGCTCTCCCACCACTCCACACTCTGTGTAAAAATCTTGCCTCATACATCACCTTTAAACCTTGCCCCTTGCACCTTAAACCCATATCTTGGAAGAGTCATCAAATGAGGCTTTGTGGGGAGAACTTAGGAATAAAATTGTGGCAGTCACACTGTTAGGAATGTATCATAGGCCTCCAAACAGTTAGCAGGCAATTGAGGAGCAGATATATAATCGATTTACCTAAAGTGTATAAGAATAATGATAGGGTAATTATTATTCTTACATGCCTTCGGTGAATTGATTACATATCAATTACATTGGAGGATTTCAGCTTATATATAACATTATTAATTGGGATAATCATAGTATAAAGTGTTGAGGGGGCAGATTGAGAAATGTATACAGAATTGTATAAGACCAGTGAGCCTTACTTACTTCGGTTGTGGGTAAAGTGTTGGAAAGGATTATAAGAGATAGGATTTATAATCATCTAGAAAGGAATAATTTGATTAGGGATAGTCAACACGGTTTTGTGAAGGGTAGGTCGTGCCTCACAAACATTATTGAGTTCTTTGAGAAGGTGACCAAACAGGTGGATGAGGGTAAAGCGGTTGATGTGGTGTATATGGATTTCAGTAAAGCGTTTGATAAGGTTCCCCATGGTAGGCTATTGCAGAAAATACGGAGGCATGGGATTGAGGGTGATTTAACGGTTTGGATCAGAAATTGGCTAGCTGTAAGAAGACAGAGGGTGGTGGTTGATGGGAAATGTTCATCCTGGAGTTCAGTTACTAGTGGTGTACCTCAAGGATCTGTTTTGGGGCCACTGCTGTTTGTCATTTTTATAAATGACCTGGATGAGGGCGTAGAAGGATGGGTTAGTAAATTTGCGGATGACACCAAAGTCGGTGGAGTTGTGGATAGTGCAGAAGGATGTTGCAGGTTACAGAGGGACATAGATAAGCTGCAGAGCTGGGCTGAGAGGTGGCAAATGGAGTTTAATGTGGAAAAGTGTGAGGTGATTCACTTTGGAAGGAGTAACAGGAATACAGAGTACTGGGCTAATGGTAAGATTCTTGGTAGTGTGGATGAGCAGAGAGATCTCGGTGTCCATGTGCATAGATCACTGAAAGTTGCCACCCAGGTTGATAGCGTTGTTAAGAAGGCGTACGGTATGTTAGGTTTTATTGGTAGAGGGATTGAGTTTCGGAGCCATGAGGTCATGTTGCAGCTGTACAAAACTCTGGTGCGGCCGCACTTGGAGTATTGCGTACAGTTCTGGTCACCGCATTATAGGAAGGATGTGGAAGCATTGGAAAGGTTGCAGAGGAGATTTACCAGGATGTTGCCTGGTATGGAGGGAAGGTCTTATGAGGAAAGGCTGAGGGTCTTGAGGCTGTTTTCGTTAGAGGTAAGAAGGTTAAGAGGTGACTTGATAGAGACATACAAGATGATCAGAGGATTAGATAGGGTGGACAGTGGGAGCCTTTTTCCTCAGATGGTGATGGCTAGCACGAGGGGACATAGCTTTAAATTGAGGGGTGATAGATATAGGACAGATGTCAGAGGTAGGTTCTTTACTCAGAGAGTAGTAAGGACGTGGAATGCCCTGCCTGCAAAAGTAGTAGACTCGCCAACTTTAAGGGCATTTAAATGGTCATTGGATAAACATATGGATGATAATGGAATAGTTTAGGTTAGATAGGCTTCAGATTGGTTTCACAGGACGGCGCAACATCGAGGGCCGAAGGGCCTGTACTGCGCTGTACTGCGCTGTAATGTTCTATGTTCTATGTTCTATGAATAGCTTTTTATGTCAACTTGTAGATGGTCCTACATGGGATGGTGCAGTGTTGGACCTAATTCTGGGGAATAAAACCACACAGGTGTTTGAGATGGCAGTGGGGGTGCATTTTAGTGATAGTGACCAGAACACTATGTTTTAAGTTTGTAATGGAAAAGGAGAAAGATGGTCTGCAAAAAAGGGTTCTGGATAGGGGTACAGCAGATTTAATTAAAATAAGGTAGAATCTAGCCAAAATAGACCGTCAACAGCTACTTGAGGATAAAGCTCAAGTGGGAGATGTTCAAAAAAGGTATGGCCGTTGAGCATACAGACCTGACATGTTCCCTTTAGGGTGAATTGTAGGAACAGGCCCAGGGAACCATAAATGTCTCGGAATATTCAGGACTGGATGAAAAGGAGAAGAAATTGAATACAAGTGGAACAAAACATTAGAGTCCCTGGAGGAGTATTGGAAGTGCAAGAAA